CACACTCGCCCGTGAGTGCGAGGGCGCCAGCCAGCAAATAGCGCAGCAGCGCTGTCGCCGCATGCAGCCAGCACCTGAATGATCAATGAGGAGGCTGGTCCTTGCCTATATCCCCGTGGCCTGCCCGTGTCCAGTCCAAGAAGCTTCCAGTAGGCCCCGGTAGCCTGAGGCCCAGTCACGAGGAATACAGGCAGTGGGCCTGAAGTAGTTACTTGTGCCCAACTGCTTTCGGCCTGTGCTTGGMCCGGTACCCGTACCCAGCCCAGGGCCTGCTTTACATTCATTCACATGGGCGGCCCAGGGCCTGAGTTCATTCAACCAACTGATGCTGTGCAACTGCCTGACCTTGTTGCAAATAAGGCCCGTAGGGCTAAGCGGGCATAGCCTCGCACAAAGTAAAAAGTTTTAAAAAACACGCATGACACACGCACATGTCCGATTGTGTGTCTGTATGTGTGTGTGTGTATGTGTATGTGTATGTGTGTGTGTGTGAATGTGCGTGTGTGTGTGTGTGTGTGTGTGTGTGTGAATGTCTGCATGTGTATGTGTGCGTGCCCGGGTGGAGGGGGGCGGGGGGGGGCTCCCTTGTCAATCAATCAATCAATCACGTAAATTAAAAAAGTACAAAAAAAAAAGCAGCTTGTTGAACGCACGGGTGTGTGTGTGTGCGCGCTTGTTTGTGTGTGTGTATGTGCATGCTCGCGGGGGGAGGCCACTCCGCCCACAACCAACCAGTCAATCAACCAATTAACCAATTAACCAATCAACCAACTTCTTTGATTGATTGATTGATTGATTTATAACGTTAAAGCAGTTGGCATCCGTTGATTTGTAACGTTACAGCAGTATCGTAGTTCCCACCGACTAAAGGTACGAGTGGTTTAACCCTGCCTCCCCCTCCCCCGGCCCCCCCCAAAAACAAAACAACAGAAAAACAAAGAAAAATAAAGAGGGGGGGGGTCTCGATTATTCAACCCCTCCGGAATTGCTGACTTTTCCATTTTTTTTCCCCTCAACGAAATGACAAAAAAAATTGCAAGGCCAGCCATTTAGTGGATGGACTATGAATTAAAAAAAAAAAGAAAAAAAAAAAAAGAAGCTCCGGCCTCTAGAGGGGGACTGAACAGTGAACCCCTGTTGGGATAGACCCCGAATGATGGCCCGAACGCCCGAATGTTCGGGGGTTGGCCGGGGGCAAGGTCCCRCTTGCACGGACTGCGAGAATCTGGGCGTYGATCTTCGCTATCGAYGGTCAATATCGCCTAATTCGTGTTTGCACGAATTAAGAGATACTGACCGTAGATTGCAAAGATCAACGGCCGASATCTCCTAATTCGTGTAAATGGGACCTAGCCCCGGGTCCCTCCTCACGTTCCGTCCGGTAACGCTGAACGGAAGGAAATTAGGAAATATAACAGTAAATGAGTTGTTTTTTTTTTTGTATTTTTTTTTTTAAATAGGTTACCTCTTGTTGGATACAAGTGGAAACCTAAAAAACAGGATGGTGGGGATCCGCGTACCAAGCAGAGGCCCCCTTAAAACTGATTTCAGTTCATTTGGACCAAAAAAACAAGAATAAATAGGAAAAMCCAGGGGGGGCGAGGAGGGGAGAACGTGGGTAGAGGATCCAAGTTCACTGCTGCAGATGTAGCAGCAGATACAACATCTGCTGCACATGCAGCGCATGCTGCAGTGTGTGGAGCAGGTGGAGCAGGTGGAGCAGTTGCTGCACGTGCAGAGCATCTGCTGTAGAAAATACAGTATAGGTGTATTTGCAGATGAAACTGCAGCATTTGCTGCAGCAACCRCTGCATCTGCAGCTACTAGGTCATATGCAGCAGACGCAACAGCTGCTGCAGGTGCAGCCAATGCCGCATCTACTGAACTAGGTGCTGCAGATGCTGCATATGCAGCAGGGTCGCGACCTGTGATAGATGTGTTCGACCCCTGATAAGACACGTAGACAGGGATAGATGTGTTGGACCCCTGATAAGACACGTAGACAGAGCAGTTGTCAGAGTAGACGGAGAGCAGAAAGGACCGACGAAACAATTAATTAAGAACCAGAAGTACATACTCAGGTRAAGGGAGAGCWTATACGACGAGACGCCTGATAAGGCACGTGGGGAGAGTCGGGGATAAARWAGATGGAGAGAAGAAAGGACGGACGGACGAAACAGATAGTTAAGATACCACAGTCTTCACCCCAATAGATCGCCCGGTCATTGTAGCCGTGTTTGGTGCAACTTTCAGTCTAGATACAGCTATAATGCCCGGGCGTTCTATTCGGATAAAGACGGAAGGTGCCATACGCAGGTTAACGGAGGACTTACGCCAGGAGACACGTGGCATAACGGAGAGAGAAGGCGAAGCACTGGACGAGGAGCAGACAAGATCGGAGGTGAGAGAGAGAGAGCGCTATGACGGAACAGGTGGTAATACCATAATTTAAAATATATATATGTAATTGAGATCGCTATGACGGAACAGGTGGTAATACCATAATTAAAAATATATATATATGTAATTATAATTAGAAAAAAAAACAGAGAATCCAGAGCGCGCTGGTCTGGTTGTGTACACTATTATAGAAAGAGGTAGCTGCATGGGCCCTGTGTGACGATGACGGGCATAAATTGATAAATTCTCCATACTATTATAAGACCAAAAAAAAAAAAAAAAAAGGACAGCCGTATGGGTGTGTTCTCGTCGTCCACATTCAACATACGCAATTGAGGACGATGTCAACAATAATTACACAACTCTCGAGACGTACACATGAGAAGGGAAGATGAAGATGAAAAAGAGTCGGGACTGAGATTGCGATGGAAGGGCAAAGCCCGAAGGAGCTGAGCTGGCAGGGATCGGTAGGCCCGGAGGACGCAAGTAATGACAACGAGGGCGCAGGAGAAGCTGACGTCCACAACCATGGTGTTAAGGAGATAGCATGACACCTGAATCTGGACTTCTTTGTGGAAAGGTGCAGAATGTTAAAATTGAACTGCTTTTCGGATCTCTGCTTAAGACACGTCCAGATTCAGGATATTTATCCAACCCTCTTTGCTAGTGGGACCGCGCCCCTGATATTGGTAAGGCTCCGATTGCTTACCCATGTGCACTGAGCGAGTTCAATTTATTGTTGTTCTCAACGGCACTGCGGCGAGGTCCTGTTTGCGCAGGGGATCGGATTCAGCGCCCGAATGTGGACTACCTTTACGCGAAGATGCAGAAAAGCAGAACAATCGCAATTTTCTGCACCTCACAGATACGTCCAGATGCCGGCTGTCGGGGGACGTCAACGGCGGAATTCCGAGCCTGTTTGCTCGTGGGACATCGGCCCAGGTACCGGTATCTCACTCGTTTCTTTTTTTGTTTTTTGTGGTTTTTCTTTTTGTTTTGATTTTTTTTTTTTAACTCGGTTTTGTTTTTGGTCCCCCTTGGGGCAAGTCCCACTAGCAGCGTTGAGCTACCTCAACGCCTGAATCTGGACGCTTTTGCGAAGATGTGCAGAAATGGTGTTGAGTTTCCTGAACTGCACGTCTCCACTAACACGTCCAGATTCAGGCGTTAAGGTAGCTCAACGCTGCTAGTGGGACTTGGCCCCCTGAAGTATGATCATCCAACCTTTTAGTGAAGACAAAAAAAAATGATCATCCTGGTGGGACATCGGCCCAGGTACCGGTATCTCACTCGGGTAAGGGGCCACATGCAATTGCAATCCCTTCATTTTGAGAGTAGCTATGCTTGCAGGGGTCTTCTCTCTATAGCCTTAGGAGTAGTGGGAGGTAGTTAGTGAAAGGCGAAGGAGAATTTGAGAAGAGAATAAAGCGTAGTCAAAGCTAAAAGGCATAATTTGCAGAATACCCTCACTAGTTGAGATATATGCCAAAATGCCGCTGAAAGATGTGGGTAGAGCCGAATGCCCTCTTAGGCCGAAATCTTTGCGTTGTGCCCCTGTCAGGTGGGCGTGCAACTTTGCAATCTGCACCTCCCCGCTTGAGCCTTGGCCTTTTGCAATAGCACCTAAGAGAAGTTGGCAAGTACTGGGGCATTTTTGCAAGTTGGATGGTCCTCGGTAGGGGTATATTGTAAAGATGGGGTTCCAACAGATGCCAGGGGTATTTTACAAAATGTTTTTTTGTTTTTGGTCAGAGGGGCATTCCGCTCTACCCACATCTCGTCGGGGCATTTTGGCATATATCTCAACTGATGAGGGTATTCTGCAAATTACCCGTTTTATTTTTAACTAAGCTTCATTCTTCTCTCAAATTCTCTTTTGCCTTTCACTACCTACCTACCACTACTTCTAAGACTTCAGAGAGGGGACCCCTGCAAGCATAGCTACTCTCAAAATGAAGGGATTGCATGTCGCCCTCCACCCCAACAGGGGTAGTCAAAAATGGGGTGGGGCCGCCAGTGGGGGTCTGGCTAAGGCAAAACGAAAGTGAGATAAGAATATAGTGTAGGTTAAAAAAAAAAAAGGGATTGGATTTTTTTTTTTTTTTTTTTAATGAAAGGTTGGATGATCATACGTCAAGGCGGTCGACCTTATTTTTAACTACACTAGTTAGAGACCGGTGCCTGGGCCGGTGTCCCGCCAGGATGATCCTTTTCTTTTTTTTAAATAGCAGGTTGGATGATCATACGTCAAGGTGGACCAGAAAAAAAGAACGAGTAAAAAAAAAAAAAACAAAAAAAAAAAAAAACAAACAAAACAAACAAAACAAAAAAACGAGAGAGATACCGGTACCTGGGCCGATGTCCCACGAGCAAACACGCTTGACATGGAATTCGGGGGTTGACGTCCCCCGAGAGCAGGGATCGGGAAAATCGCAATTGCTCTACTTTTCTGGATCTTTGCGTAGAGGCAGTCCACATTCGGGCGCTTAATCCCATCCCCTGCACAAATAGGACCTCGCCGCAATGCCGTTGAGAACAACAATAAATTGAACTCGCTCAGTGCACATGGGTAAGCAATCGGAGCCCTGCCAAGGTTAGACCGACGGATTGACACAAAGTGGCATAAGGGAGAGGCAAGCCAGTGTCGGCTTCAGAGGCGCACACACACACACACACACACATACACACACACAGAGAGAGAGAGAGAGAGAGAGAGAGAGATGGCGACGGAGAAGGCACGAGCGGGAGCAGAAGAGATGAAGGAGGCCGGGCGGGAAGGATACGAGGAAGGAAAGAGGTCTGCGCAGGAGAAGTACGATCACGCGAAGGGGACTGTCGGCGCCAAGACGGAGGAATCCAAACAGGCTATGGAGGAACAGAAGCAGCGAGCGGCAGAATCGATGCAGGAGCAGCAGGAGAAAGCCGCAGGCGCCATGCAAAGCCTGAAAGAGAAGGCAGGCGCAGCTATGGAGGGTCTGAAGGAGAAGGTCGGGATGGGAGGAGGAGGGGCAGGGCAGTGAGGAGGGAAGTAGAAGCGTTGGCTTCTTCGAGCTTTGGTGCAGGAGATGGGAGAACGTCATCGTCGTGGCTTGCATCCAGTATTCGCCGCTTTTATCTACGTTTAATGAACTTGGGGCGTGATGGAGGTCACATGCAGATCAGCGTGGGCTGGAGGGCGGACTCAACGGGTGAATCTGACCTGGAAACAGATTCCATACAGATGTTACGCGTTGATCTATTGGAGCCTCCCGATCTTCGTTGATTGCAATGAGTCATCCACTTTAATGAACTTGGTCGCAATGGAGGTCAGATGCAGATGAAGATGGGTTGGAGGGGGATGTCATCGTGTCTCAGGTTAGATGCAGATTAGCATGGGGTAGAGGGGTGTAATTGTGTCTGAATGTGGCCTGGTAAACCGTCGAGGTACTGCTGACGTAGCGCATCACGCAGGGATCTACGGGCCTCTTTCCACTACTCACCACGTACAACGGCCGAAAATAAGGGAAGTTTATCTGCCCATGTTCTAGCGAAGGATTCATTCTGATTTTGCAGATGTTGAGTGGTGGGGCGACGTCCTGTATAGCATTTTTTACTTCAAATGAAACTCGGTCAGTTGTCGTGATCTGACGCGTTGACGGTCACCGACCATCAGTCAGTAATAATATAGCCGTCTGGGAATGGTTGAGGGGTGTTGTATTCGAATTGTGAGGTTCTCCGATTGGTTCTATTCCAATTATGCTCCTGACGGAGGGGTTGTTCTATTTGAGTTCAAAGTGCACCTGAGCAGCATCGAGGAAGTATGTTAACCGGACACTACGGGCCCACCTCTACCCGACGATGCCTATCGTGTTCACCCGAATAGGATGCGGGGTCATGATGGCTGCATCTGGACTCCAGTAGCTGCAAATACAGACAATTATACGGACCGCGCGTTCTATTCGCGCGAAGAGGATAGGCGCGGATCTCGAAGAGGATAGGGTGGATGTAAATGTGATGCTTATCAGGGAGCTGAGGGAGGTGGGGTAGTGAAGGGGTGTGATGAGGTGATGACGAGATTGCGCGAGACAAGAAATGAACGTGTAAGGGGGGATGATGATGTGATCGGTGGAAACCATTTCGGGATAATCGGTGGAAGGCGCCCAAACCGAAAAGGTTTTGGCGTGGGCTCGTTCTACCAATTATCCCAACCATTTTGAATTGCACCGTATTCATGTGTCTCTAATCTCATTCTCCCATTTGGAGTCCTTGTCACAGGCCCACTCTCCTTTTGGAATTGTTGTTGAAGTTTAATTGATGAGAACAGATACTACACTTGATCTATTTTTAGCCAAAAGGCCGAGAAGGTATTTGACGGCCATTCCCAGCGTGGAGAATTAGAGGATGTGATTGTGTCTCTCATTTCTTTCTCGTTCATCGAGGAGGACACAAAGAAAATGTGAAAATTGTAGTGAGGGAGGGATAAAGAGGTGGAGGTGGAGAGGAACGCACGCCAACGTATTGACCTCTATTTCTCTTTATCTTTATTTTCTTCAAGATCTTGAAGAAGAGATGCCGCGAATCTGTTTAGATTGCATAGAAACGTCAGCGTATAAAGCTTTTTTTTTTTCTTTTTTTTTTTTTAAGCGTATAATGTCGCGTTTCCCTTGCGTGTAATTTTTTTCCTTGCTTTTTAAGTTCTTTTTTTTTTTTTTTTTTTTTTTTTTGTGTGTGTGTGTGTGTCTAGTGTGTGTGTGTGTGTGTGTCATCAGGAGGACTTACGAAATTGCATCCGCGCAATGGGCTGGAGCGCCACTACTATCAAGTTACATGAGCAATAGACAAAACACATGAAGACGGTTTATTTCCACGAGTCAAGGGAGCATTCCTTCTCATTTTGCACATTGGTGTAGTTATGTTGGGCGTTGTCGGCTTCTTATCTGAAATTGTCTTCACTCCACTCTTTCAGGATGGGTCCCATATGAAGGCAGGACCACAGCTAAAAAATTGACATACAGTCTGCCTTCTTCATAGCTGTATTTGAGGCATCTTTCAGTCTAAATACAGCTATAATGATCGTACGTTGTATTCAGGGGAAGAGGGTAGTCACTTGTGTCAGAACAATAGCAAAAATAATACCGATGCAGAGGGCGATTGTAATCATCGTCCAAACACAACGGGAAAAAAAACAAAATAGACAAGTGAGCGGGGAGATATATCTATATGATTTTCTATTAATCTTCATCCCGTTGAAAGGGCCTCACCACACCACTCTCCAAATATGAGAAACACCAAAATGTGACGGCTGCATCTGGCCATGTTCTAGCTCGAAGTTCATTCTCATTTTGCACATTTCGAGAGTGGTGTGGCGATGCCCAAAAGCCAAGGTGAATAAGATATCGGAAAAAGTTTTAACACTGCAATCAGACTTGAGTCTCGTTTTCTCGCTTACGTAGCATGCATGCAAACAGATGGCAATCCACACTGGCGCCAGGCGCCCACACAAAGCTCAGAGATGTTTAATTTAAGACCGGGAAGAACACAGGTCAACTCGCTTCCGATTGGCTATGGCGCGTGAGCGCCTACACATCCCCTTCCGATCCTGTATTCACATAAACTGCTCACACGCACACCACGCTGGCTCTCCCTGGATGTTCCACGCCCGCTCACTCTTCACACCCCACACACTCCCACACGCACGCTACACCCTATCCCTAACCCATAGCAGCTATGGCTGCCCCCTACCACTATCTCCAGCTAGCAGCTATGGCCGCTCTATCTTCCTTGCAGCCCGCTTCGACTTCGGGCATCTCGGCATCTCTGCAAACCACCTCGAACAAGCGCTTCCGCATGGCTCACGCAGACTGAATGAAGGCTGGATGGTAGTGGATGCTGCCTCTTCTTGTATACTGCTGTTGGTCGCTAGTCTGCCCCTTTCCACGGGGCGGGGCCCAGCCCATGGTGCACACATTCCCACATGGTACTTGCTGACTGGACAAAGTGAGACTGGGACTGGGTACCGCTGACTAACCAAAGTTGGCCTACCCACTTGCCCTCTTGCCTCTGGTCTTACGTTAGCAACCCTCGAAAGGCCACTTCCGGCCCCTCCGGAAGTCTGTGGACTTGGGCCTTTCGGGACTGTATCATCTGTATGTAGCAGCCAGCTACGACCTTGACCTTTCAAGACTGTAGCAGGTTCCCTGGTACGACCTTTTTGACCTTTCAGAGTTAAAACAACCACAACCCCTATACAGCTATGACCCCTAGTCTTGGCCTTTAGGGACTATAGCAGCTACGACCTTGACTTGACCTTTCAGAGTTGCAATAACTACGACCCCTATAGAGCTACGACCCGTACTCTTGGCCTTTAGGGACTGTAGCAGCTACGACCTTGACCTTTCAGCACTAGCAGCATGACCTTGACCTTTCCGAGTTGCAACCACTATGACCCCCACTCGACAGACCTACGGTTCAAAACTCAAGAGCTACACAGACCTACCACAGACAACAGTCAGCTACCAAGACACAAGTCAGGGGTTCAAAACACACAGGGGGTCTACTTGGTACTGTACACAGTAACACAGGTGAGGTAAGGTCTATCTGCCACCACAAAGTTGAAAACCGTTCCCACGACAAAATCTTCGTATTCATTTTCCACCTAACGGGGCAGAAAGTGCCGCAGTCCCCAAAACCTTTGGCTTCGTTCGTGCAGCCTGCAAAAGCGCTTCACCATCGTTTTGCACAGCGTAACAGCGGGCGTGCCCGGCCCAGCCAGGGTGGAAAAATGACAACTCGCGTGAGAGTGTTTTCCAGTGGTGTGCCAAGACGAAGCAAAAAGTCATTTTGGGGCCTGTGCCACTTTTTGCCCATTTGGGGGCAAATGATTACGAAAGTTTCGTCGCGGGGAGGTTCTACAACTTGAAACTTTTCCCTTTTTGTCCCGTTTGGGACGCTGGGAGGCTTTTTATGCATTGTCATATCTTGCACTAGTTCGCAAATCGATGCTGGTAGTATATCCAATGACGATTACTCCAGATGGAGATTATCAGACGGCCTTCTCTCGGCTATTGGCAGTTTGGAATACATAATTCATCAATCTTAGATATCCCCTTGAGCATGTATAGACGGGAGGGCTATGTACTTTAATATTTAATTAATCAATCTTAGATCCCCTCCCCTTGCCCATGACGCCTCAGGTGGTGCTGCCACGTGTCATTCGTTATTCCGTTTTTCTCGTATTTTCCCGTCTCCTCGTTCTGTTGTTCATTCTTTTTTGAAAGTTTCACTTGTGCACTTCTTGGTGTGTGTTTTGCCGGCGAGGGGGGATGGGAGAAAGATAGATAGATAGATAGATAGATAGCGAGAGAGAGAGAGAGAGAGAGAGAGAGAGTCATTCTGTTCTTCATCCTGTTGTGAAAGTTTCACCTGTGCACTTCTTGGTGTGTGTTTTGCTGCGTAGAGAGGGGGGGAGAGAGAGAGAGAGAGAGAGAGAGAGAGAGAGAGAGAGAGAGAGAGAGAGAGAGAGAGAGAGAGATGTGGGGTATGAAGTGGGGCATCATGCCACGATGATGTCGTCCGACCGTTCGGTGACACTTCCACAGTTCCACTGACTCGTCAGGTTGAGCCCCCTGTGCAGTGTGCAAGCTCTTGTGTGTGTGGCAGTGTCACGTGTGTAACGGTGGGAGTAATAGAAGGTCGACGTATGAAAGACGACGACGATGAGGATGACGATTCGGGAGAAAAAGATGGTCGGAAAAAGGTCGTCGGCGTCGTGGTAGAGAAGTGGGGGGGAGGAGGACGTCGAGTGGGAGGGAAGAGAGAAAGATGAGGAAGAAAAAGCGGAGAGAAAAAAAAACAAAAAACTGGAACGATGATGTGAAAAAGGTTGACACCGTTGTCCGCTCTGTCACTTCACTTTACTTTTTTTTTTTCTTTTTTTTTTCTGCCTATTACGACGACGGCTTCCAGATTAGCCCAACGCAAGGCTTGTATGCTCTTTGTACGTAGAATGCGTTCATGCATGCTAACTGCCGTAAACGCATGCATGTTGTTCGTCGTAACTGCCATAAGCGCATGCATGCTCTTTGTCCGCCTTTGAGCTCTTCGCACGCAGAATGCGTGCATGCATGCTAACATGCTCATGCCGAGAGCAGTTCTAAAGTCTCGTTTGATTTTCTGTTGTCGACCACTTTCAGTTAGGCGAATCCTCGTCCGAGGCCGAAATGCGATCGTGGCTTTTCTTGTACTTGTGTTTTTCGATCGGTTTTTAAACCAAAAACGGCTGCGGTGGTCATCACCGATCTTTTAAGTCGAATCACTGCTTCTTCTGCCATGCTTCCCTACTTCTTTGCCGCCGATCTTTGAAGTGCAATCACTGCTTCTGCCCTTCCTTACCTCCTCTCCTTTCGCTGTCGGGATCGCCGCTTCCTTGCTTCGTTATGGAATCGTTTCGCTGTCGGGATCGCTGCTTCTCCTCTTCCCGACCTCCTCTCCTCATCGGGCTGACCTCCTCTCGTCATCAGGACGCAGCCGGGCTGTGGTGGTGATCGTAGCATCCAAACCAAGGCTTAGCAGTGTTGCGAGATTGTTCATGCATTCTGATGTTGTGCAGTTTTGCCGTGGAAGACGGCGCTTCTGCCATTTCTTACATCAGAATTTTGAATCGGTGGTTTTTCCCTTTTTTTTTTTTTAGCGAATAGGGGATGCAGACTTCATTTCTGTTTTGTTGGTGATCCCTCACAGTTGCAAGGGTGGAAGAAATCGGACAACGACTTCTTCATCTATTTCTTCCGTTCGCGGCCGAGGTCATGGGAATGGGGGGAGGTCATGGAGGCGGCTTTTCACGGGAGTACCTGAACCCTACGATACTATTCCTGCCGTTGCTTCGACAAATTTTTCGAAACCTGCAGCTGATTTTTTTGAAGGGTTCGGAGACTTGGGCCACCCTGTGCGTCTTCCGTATTTCCACCGTGTTTTCGTGATTACTCCTTTTTTTTTTTTTCACCTGATGCCAAATGTGTCGCGATAGTACAAGAACGGTTGCAGTGATGGTGATGACATGGTTGTTGTTATTTGTTCGTTATATTGTACAAGGGGGGAAAAAAAATTGAACATGTCTGGGGGGTCCTGCTCGCATGCTGCCCGCGACCTTTTTTTTTGTTCTGCGAATCTCCGTTGCGTCATGCGGTGGAATGCACGTGGCGTTTACTATGGTGATCGCAGTAACTATACGGATCTTTTTTTTCTTTTCTAAGTTTTTTTTTTTAAAGACATGTCGGGAGTACGTGAACGGCCACTCCATCTGGCCATTTCAGCACCACTGAACTTGACGGCAAGCACCGGGGCTAACTGTTGCAGTGTTCAGGCAAGGGCTAGGCTCTGAGGGAAAAGTCCGGTGGGCCCTTAAAAAAGAGAATTGAAATCGGAAATGGGGGAAAAAAAAAAACAGAAACTGGGCACGACTACTCAGAAAGCCCTGCCTCGCTGGCGGGCCACAAAAAA